AATATTATATTAGAAGAGAAAGATCTGAGATCTAGCTATGAATATAAGAAATATATAGAGACGATTTATAAGATATCAATAAGAAGAAATATTTCTTAGAAAAAATTCCTAGAATATAAAATTTCATAAGAATGATAATCCTTATATAATGGTTTGAAATATAAATAGATCTCTCAAATTTTATATTATTAATTCATTTCAGAAATAGATCAGCATCAGATAAATGAGCCAGAATATTTCAATTAATATAGAAATCTTGAATATTTCAAGAATAAGACCCATCTTTATTAAAAAAAGATTTCTATAACTAAAAAATCGATTGAAGAAATACCGATCATATCGAAAAAAGAAATAGTCAAGTAGAGATAGATATAAGCAGATCGAGATATCTAAAGAATCACACAGAAAAATATCCAAAATAGAAAATATAAATACACTACGTATATTCAGCAAGCACGATATTAAATTCCAAATTTTCAGAATATTGAAATTTCACAATCACGCAAATATCCATGAATTTCTACGAGCATCCCCCCCCATATTTAATATTCTGAAATATTTAAAATATCTTAATATTATAATAAAAATTATTGAAAATTATGAAAATTAATCAATTTTTAATATCGCGAGCGAAATACTATCATTATATCACTAATATTAAAAGTATATGTCTAATATGAAATATTAATTATATGCTCCTACCTCATCTTAATTCAAATTTTATTTTTAAAAATAAATTTCGACTTTCGATTATAAATACAATCATATATAATTCGAAAATTTCATAAAAATTATATTCAATATTTCTAAATTCTAATTCAAAAATTTTGAAACCTTTGTTCAAGAATTTTAATTTTAGGATTAAATTTATCAATAATAATACCTATAATATAATAATATTTCGAATTTTATTCATTATATGAAAAAATTATATAAAGAGAAGAAATATGAATAGAATGACTTATAATAATTAATTTATTCTTATATAATATTAATAAATAAAATTGGAGCTTACGATATATATTCCTACTATATAATATAATATAGCATATATATATATATGTAAATATAATATTATTCCTTTAGATGATTTTTCTTGAGAAATCAAACTTACAATAATTCCTAAGCTTTGAATAATTCAAATCACAAATATTGATTATTGTGGTCCTCGCTCTGGTATAATTTTAGCCTAAAGTGCCTCGCAGGCGTTCCTGAAATTTTGATCTTGGTTGAAGAAGTGGTAGGTAGAGTTACCTCGGACTGCTGGCCGCCAAGCTTTTTCTCGCGAAGCTGATTGATCGCCTTGAGCGTATACAGTCCCACGATAATTACCTCACACTCTCACACCTCTGATTGACTAGCATGCGAGGCTTCAGCCGCTGTAAACGAATCGTATCGTGTTCTCACGATGTTGGTAATGCGGCCAAGATCTGCCGAGCATGACAGACGTCCCCGCTCATGTCGCACAGGCAGTACGTTGCGTGTGCAAGCTGGTCTGTCAAGAGTTTGTTTGCAATAACAAAGTAGCCGAGCGTGGCAAGAATTGGTACGAAAATCAATAATCCCACAGGGATCGCTGTCTTTCGTAGAATCCAATCGAGCCACCAGAACGACCGTCCACGGAGTGGCTTACAGTTCTGGATCCATGCAGCATTCTGCTCCCCAGCGAAAGCGGCAAAAAGCATCTCATCCACTGTAACCAGAAAGGTCAAGGCCAGGCTGTTCAGAATAAGGTCGGAGACATTCCTGACGGATAGCAGGTACCTAATACCGACTATAAAAATGCATCCTTGTAGAACGCTGCGAGGCAGGAGGTTGAGCAGGACAGTGGACACTCGATGTTGCGTCGTCAGGCCGACAACCTCCAGCGTCGCTTCCGCTTCGTCCTCAACATTCTCTGGAAGCTGGTACAACAAGCAGTCTTCAGCATCTTCCTTGGGCAATGAGCTTACGATATTCCACCATACCTTGACTGCTCCACTGCACGACAAAGGCTCTTCGATTGTAGCTATGGGTGCAGGCATGTGCAGGCACTTCTGCAAAAGCTTGCTAAGATGGCCGTGCTGCTAGAATGTTTCGAAACTCCGTGACGGATGCCAAGCCCCAAAGAAATACAATCAAAAAAAGGAATCCCTGAAAAAGAAGCGAGGTGAGCCCAAAGGTTGGGTCTGAATATGTTTCGCTTGCTGCATAGCTGACAACCTTCTTATTGCGAGTGATTTGGCTCGACTTCTTGCCACAAACGTCCAGCCGCTGCTCCAGAAAAAGGGTCGCCTGCACAGTATAGATTCGCCGACAGAACGTCTGAATTGCTTTCTCGCAAACGTTCAGCTGACCGAGAGAAGCTGTGCTGCTCAGACCTGCAATCTTCATGAACATGGGCACGGACGAAGAGATCTCAGCAGTCCAACGAGGGAGTAGCTGCTGGTCAAGCAGATTGCCACAAAGGTCACTCTCAGGAATCAAGCAGAAATGGGCAAACGTGGCAATTTCTGCATCATAAACGTGGCGAGGTATGGAAGTGTACTTGATGATGCAGTCTTCCTGTTGCACTTCCTGCACAGCACTCTGCATGCAAAGCCTGAAGTCCCGGACGTTGGTGAAGTCGTCTAGTGGGAGGTTTACGGGAAGGTGACCCAAACCAGTGAGCGTTAGGCTGTAAGAACCCCCGCCGCATGTGCAGCACAGCTGCTTGACATGAAAGTCGTCGTCGTCCCACTGGCCTGCGCAGGCATCGAAGCCGTTGTAGCCTGCGCATGCCAGCTCACTCGAGTCAGTGGCACCATTATCCATGTCTACGCACTTCGGCACATTGCAGCTGTAGATTGATCCGTTCAGCTGCTTCCGCAGACGGCTGTTTGGCATGTATCTTGTCCACGAAGCCTGCTTCACAGCATCCACGTAGTTCACAACCACATGTCCATCGCTCGTAATATTTCCGATGGAGGCATCAGACCAGAATCCACGATCCGCGTCGAAGGCCTGTATGTTGTCATTCAGAGTGCATTCTGTATGCCTAGGTCCAGCGTATTGCTGCATCGTGCGGAAAATGTTCTTGTAGAACTCTGTCATGTTCACATAGCGTCCAGTTGTCGCATGATGACTGCTGCTGAGGGCCTCTGCCTCCGCAAACGTCCACCTGCCATCCCCATCACGGTCCAGGACAGCGAAGTCTACGCTTAGAGCCACCTCATCCGGTGTGCAGGATATTCGAGTTTCGCCATCACGCTGCCAGCATATGCCCGTTGCATCTATCGCATTAGATTGCCCAAACAACTTGGTCTTGATCAGGCTTTGATTCCCTGTGGTTCTTTCAGACAGCAAGTACACAACTGAATACTGCAAGAAAAAATTCACCAGTAGCAGAAGGTGCGCCTTGCCCAGTGTGCTCTTTGTAATCAAGCGCATCAGAAATGCGTTCTCGTACGCAGATTCAGCAAGTGTCAGAGTCCTGTAGCTGAGGACTTCTCGCGTCGAGGTTCGTAGAAGCAGTCGGCTTTTTGACTTTGTCTTGCCTGCACAAGTCTTTCAGACCCAAAAGCTTACAGACCGCTTCATGTCGTGTGTCTTGCTGATGCAGAACCTCACCTAGATGTGTATCAGCAACTCATGTTAAAGGTTTGACCCTGGCCGTGGCCTTTCATGCCCGCGCCAAATCTGCCAAACAGGCCGACTGGGGATGCCATGCTGGGAGGTTCACGGTTTGAGTGAATCTCACACGGCCGAGTTGGTGAGCCTGGATCTACCACAGACTCCACATCGACACAATGCTCGGTCCCGTTGGTCGGGCCGCATGCTGGCGGTTCTTGTGCCACCTTTGCCATAGCTTCGGCTTGAGCCCACAGCTGAAGTCAGGCAGTTCTTGTGATCCCAGCAAGGAGCTTGACCTTTCGAGGCTCTTTCCACCGGGCTTCTGACTAACTAGGCAGTACGAGCTTTGCATTGTGATTTCATCTGAGGCTATGCACGAAGGAAACCACCTCCTCGTCACTAAGCGAGGAGATGATGCGCTGCGAGGAATCAGCAGCCTCAGCGACTCTCCGAGCGATCTGCAAGTGACGATTATATGCTCGTAACGCTGTTTCGAACTCGGCTGTTGCAGCACAGGGAAAAGGTCCGCACTGTTGCAATGGGCATGCCCACGGCCTCCTCATTGACTTGGCACACACGCCGTCACTTGAACTAACTTTCAGATCACTCAAGTGAACTTTTTGCAGACATGTCTTCAGTGAGCCAAACGTCCTGCAGCCGCGTGACGTCGAGCTCTGCAGCTGCCTTTGCTCCGGCGCCTTCAGGATTAAGGGGATGACTGCCTGAGGCTGCATCCTGTTACTTTAAAAATTCTTCGAGAATGCACAGATCCATCCACGCAAAGCCACGTGACTAGAAGTGCAGAGGGCAGCTGGACTTTACCATGTCTCCGAGAAAACTGCTCTAAACCGATCCTCGGATCTCTGGAGCTCTCCATTGCACTCCGCACTTCGTTGCTCGATCTTGCAGCCCCAATACCTTCGCAGAGGATGACTTTTCGGCGCAGTCCCACTCTCAATGTTTCAGGGACATGGTCGGCGCTATGCTGGATGTTTCGAGTGAAAGACGATGCCTGCCCAGACCGGTGCTTCCATTACAGGCATGAATCTGCGCGGAAGAATCGACTGACCGAAACAGTTGACTGAAAGCGACGATTCCACTGCCATCCCGCCAGCTGCATCTGAGCAAACTTTCTTCCATACATCACGTATCCATGCCGGCATAATTAGTTCATATGATGGCAATGATCATGAATCATGAACCATGAAGACCAAAAGACGAAGATCCATGCTCCCCAACACACCCACCGAGCCCCGACCCCCCGATTCATGGAAAGTACCACCAGAAACTGTTAGGACTGTGCCGCCATGGATGCCTTGCACAGACTGCCTTGCAGCTTTACTACAAACTCTCCCCACCCAACTGGAGGCGGCTGAAACTCTGGTCGCTGCGTCGGGTACTTACACAGACATGGACCTTCTTGCTCGCCGATGCGAACGACGGCGAGGGTTGATCCGGCTTTCAGCACTTGTCGTCAACTTGAGGATCCCGGATGCTGCTTTAATGGCTTGAAGCACGAAAATATTGCACTATGCGGCCAACCGGAGCTGCTCAGGCTCTGACAATGTCCGGGTAGGAAATTGTGCCAGGATTGGTAAAGTTCAAGACTCCAACTGTTCGCCGTTCTGCGAGTATCGGAAGCAGCGGCATGAGGTCATCCAGTATCGTGACCGATGTCTGCACGCTATCGACCTGCTTGAAGCGCGCCTGGGGAATGCATCGAAGGCACTCTCTCTCTCTCTCTCTCTAAAAATATAATTACGCACACACACACACACTTCTTCATAATATGTGCAGCTGATTACAGTTGCATTGCGTGTGTGGTTGTTTGCTCGCTGTTGTCTATGTTCATGTGTCAGCACAGCGCGCGACAGTGTGACTCACAGCCAAAGAGGATGGAGAATGCATCTCAAGTGCCAGCTTGCCAAGCAGGCCACGTGGATCCAAATCTGAACTCAGGGGATAGAGCACCCTCAGCACCAACACATTGTTGAAGTAGGCGGTCAGCTCCTCCATCTTCTGTCTGAGTGCTGTGTACACCCCCGGTGAGCCACCATTGGGAGGATCTGCTTCCGAGAACTTCCGCTTTTTTTCGCTGGCCAGGTAGAGGGCTCCTGTTCCCAAAAGAATGAGGTGTAAACCGCGCTCGTGACATGCAGCTGCCACGGATAATTGTCCAGTGATGTTCGCATCCAAAGTCTCGACAGGATGGGCATCGCACCAAGCAATGTTGGGGCGCCCCCGCTCCCCTGCGGCACAAATGACGCCGAGCTTGGGCTTCTGCTCATCCAAGAGGGCCTCGAGTCCCAGCCGGTCCTTCAGCCTCAATCGGCTTGTGCAGACGACATGTTTACTTTCAAGCTTTCGCAGGATGCTGGCGCCCAGAAACCCAGTTGCTCCCAGCAATACGAAATCGGGTTGAGACGTCGAGGCGGCCATTGCGACAATATGATCCGCAAGCTCTGAGCATGAGGGAACCGTCAACTGCTCTGTCGTTGCTGCAGATACAGATACTGGCAGAAGAAGGAGCCACAACAATCAAGTCCTGCATCGAGCTTGCGGCCGACAATGGGCAAGTTATCAGGGGCGGTGGCTTCCAGGGTGGCAAGCCAAAGCGAAACAAATGCTGCAAGGCACCTTCAGCAACATGATTTTTTCCCAAGAACGTGTGGATGCAAGCGATGCTGCAACCACTCAGAAGCTTGGGCTTCGCCTTCCTCCTCGCCCGCCACCTCCTGCAATCTGCGAAAACGAAATTCGATAGATCGAGCTTTTCTTGCATCTCCAAACCGCTCTTTCCAGAACCCTTTGATGCAGCCCTAGTCCACATAAGGATGCAGTATGCTCCTCGGCTGCCACGCATGCGATGTCCTTCAGGCGCGGGGTTGCTGACAGCCCCAGGGTCTGGGCCCCGGTAAACAGAACTTTCTGGCCTCCTGGCGGCGGGGCCGATCCTGCAGCATAGCCATACCGTTGGTTGAGCAACCCGTTCTGGTTCTTGTATTGTCGTCATGTCAATGAACTGTTCTTGAAGCCGAATGGGTGTTCTCCCTTCTAAGCCGAAGGAGGCTCTTTGAAAACAGATTCCCAGAGAGATTTCAGAGACTCTTGGCCGTCAAATGCCGTTGTGGCCAAGTGCCCAAACTGCGAAGGCCGGTTTTGGGATGAGAGCCTATGGCCTCAAGTTGTGGTGCATGGTCTTGGCAAACACTGTATCAGCTTGTGGTCCTCCAACCAGAAAGATTCACCGGAATCTGACAACATCCACTAAAAAAGTCCAACCTTTGTTTGTACTGCCCGGAAGTACCCTGCCTGCCATCTTCAGCAAGTCTTGGGTAATCTCCTGGCGAAGCAGCTTCCAAAAGCTCATGTGCTTTCGTTTTGGATCTCTTTTGTGAGTTGAAAGTCCGCGCGTTTTAGGGGCGAGTGGCTGTCTTTGATCCGTAGTTGAAACATGGAAGCAAATGCAACTTTCCAAAAACGAGCACGGCAACTACTACTGTACGTATCATAAACTTTCTGAGGTCGCTGAGGAAGAACTGTTCCGAGGCCTCTTTAAGACCGCAGGGGCAAGTCTTTTGTTGCTTTTTGATGTCTTTCTTCTTTGTCTGCGCTGGGGGGATGCCCAAACATGCCACTTTGTCCGTGTGTCTGCCGGATGTTGCGTGAGGGTGCACAAGGCTTTTGCATGTGCTCAAAAGGCCAGTGAGTGAAGGGTGTAGACACCACACATCTGAAATTATCTTGTCTTTCTTTCTGCTGGGCTTAGGGTCGCTGTGCGACCCTCAGGCCTTCGGCCCGCCCAACCACATAATGCTAATTATCCTCTCTTTCTTTCTTTCTGCCGGGCGTAGCGGTCCGCGGGGGACCCTCAGGCCATCGGCCCGCCCGACCACTCTTTTTACTATTGACTGGCCGGCTTTGGGGTCATCTATGACCGTTGCAGAAAGGGACAAAGTTTGTCCCGGGTGGTTATGTTGTAAGCCCCCGACCCCGAAAACTATGAACCACCAGGCCTCGTCTCCTCGCCCCTTTGGCTATCGTCGGGGGCTTACATGCAGCCACCGTGGTATAGCCCCAATGTTTTTGGGGAACTAGACCCCCATTCTTGAGGCCTGTTGAGAACTGCACTCTTCTGAAGCCCCCACAGAGCAGCGAACGAAGCACACAACCGACAGTAGACCCCGCGTTAAGCTCCGAGTGCTGTTCCCGAAAGGTTCGTGAGACTTGTGGCTACCCTTATTGGGGGTCGACCTTGTTCGTGGAAAGATATCCCCCGAGTATAGTGTCTCCAACGTGAACCCCCGGTGCAGCTGTCTGCAAGTTGAGTGTGCTCTTACAGCGGACCTTTAGCACTTGGATAAGACACACGACGCTTCCAGCAAGCCTACCTCTAATTAGATGCGAGACGGCCCCCAGGCTGCATTCAACTTCTGACTTGTCATTGGCAGGGCATTCCCTGCAAGTGGGGTCCCCCCTGTTTAGAGGCCTCTAGAACTCGGAGAGGAGACAAAACAGAAGCAACAGGCTTACCCCTAGCTGCGTTACGGGTCTCAAGCCCCCACTCCTCTGCAGGTCCCAGCTCCCCGACGTTGTCACGAACTCCCAACAAAAACAAACCCTCTTAGTCGTCGCTGTCCAGGGAGCCGGGACTATCCTCACTCTCTCTCTCTCACTCTCTCTCTTTGCTTTGCTTTGCTTTGCTTTGCTAGGTCAGAGCCAGGGGGAGCTACCCCCCGACCCGCGCCTAGGCGCATCCCCATTCATCATTCTGACAGAGGGGCTTGGCTGTACTGTTGTTTGGAGGGTCGTGTGCCTCGTGTTGTCTGTGGGCCTCCGTGGGGGCAGTTCTTGTCAGCACCAGGGTAAGTTAGAAAGTTAGAAAACAGCGAATGCCTCCCAGGAGTCCCACAGGTTTGTGCGCACTACACTGTACCCCCACCTGACCTGCCTTTGCCCTGCCTTCAACCCGAACCGAAGCCTGAACCCCATCACTGCCTGCGACCTTCCACTCAACCCTTAAGCCTGGTCAGCTCTGAAAGGGGGGTGCCCCGAGACAAACACTGCAAGTCCTAAAAGCACCACACTCACAACACAACAGTCTCTGGTGCCCCTTCCGAGCTTTGTCTATGCCACGTTGGCGTGCGCACGTCGCCTTCTGTGGCTTTGCTCGCTGCTGTCACTGCTCGCACTCAGGTCTTCTTCGGCTCGCTGTAGTGCCCCTCTTCTCGTGTGTGTTGGCGCCGCCGGGTGCCACGGGACTGTTTCTGCTTCCGCACTGTCCGCTTCTGGTGCCGTAGCTTCGCACTGGTCGGCGTTCTCCTCGAAGTGGTGCCCGAGTCCAGTCCCTCGTGAGTCTATAGTGGCGTGGTGCGGGATATGCCCGCTGAGAAGCCCCCATTTATGCTTGCCGTCTGAAATGATCACTGAACATGCTCGTTGGTGCAGCGCAGCATGATGATGAGCAAAAAGTGGCTTAAATGCAACTGCTGTGCCTCTCCACTCTCCGGGTTGTTTCCCGCTGACCAAGGTCCAAAAAAGCCGTTGTCGTCAAAGGCGAGTCCGGCTTCCACGATTATTTCCTGGATAAAGACCACAGTCATGCGAGCCAGGAAGGCGTGTCCCCCGAAATTTTTGAGGAACTCCAACACCTTGGGTGGTGTCATCCCTCCCAAATTCCAGGTGCACATCAGAGGCGCGAATTCCAGCGTGTGCCCACGTGGGCCGTGAAACTGTGTGCCCTCTTCCAGGGCTTCCTCCTGAAATCACCTCAGGACAGCCCCTAGGGGCTGCCACGCATCCTTGACGTTTGCAATGGCCAGGCGCATCTTGGCCGCGATGGCATTGAGGTCGATCCAGCCTTCCGCGCCTGTTGTAGTGGAGTTGGCTGGTGCCATGAGGTTGCCGATGCCACTTTGGTCGACTTGTACGACACCTGTCCCGTGGCGTACTCCGTCTCCACGTCCGTGGCGTGTGCCCCGAGCTCCATAAGCAGCCGTTTGCATTTGGCCGCCACTTGTACTTTTCGCCTCTTCTCTGGCGGCTGGGAAATGTTGAGGAACAGCCTGGAGGGTTCACCGTTGAGCTTCTTGTCGGTGGTGAGGTTGGCGTTGCGGACGTGTCGGAAGCAATGTTGCACCCTCTGCCTTTGTTCTTCTTGGCTTTCGCCATCTTTCCTGGTCAACGGTATGATGGCGTACCCCCTGCGGACTCCTGGCACGAAGGCGTCCCTCATGTCGATGTCCAGCCTGAGCTCGGCCACCAGCTTGTTGGCATTGTCTATTACCTTGTCCGCCTCGGTGTCCGGGTGCCAGCCGCCGATGATAAGCGCTGGCGGGCGCGTCTCCCCGTTGTTCTGTAGGGCGAGTTTCCCTTGTCCTCCTTGCTCGAGCTGCGCAACGCGCGAGGCGACTTCGTCCAACTTAGCGGCGACTGCCTCTGTCCTCTCCTGGTTGGCCTCAATCTCCGGTGAACTCGCTGAAAAATGTCGGCGAATTGCTGCGTGACGTTCTTTTCGAAGGTGCCCACTCGCTGGTTCACTTGTTCCACGGCAGATTGAAGTTCACCTCGGAACAGTTCTCGAATGGCCTCCAAAGTGAGGCCCGGTCCTTCCACTCTGCCTTTCTTAGGGCGGTTCGTGTCCAGCAGGTCGTGGCTCCTGGCTCGGTACCTCCGAGGTGTCCGGGTACCCCGCGCTCGAGATCCCCGCGAGTGAGTTGGGTTCCAGTTGCATGCTCTGAGGCGAGTGCCCCTTACCAGCCATGGTTGAAGATGCCCTTCTCAGTGACGTTGCCCAAGTCACGAACTTCCAGATGAGGTAGTCCCTCGCCCAACGGCGGTGGAGCGCGGAATCAGCGGGTCCCCCGACTAGGTGAGTAGGCTCGCCGATTGCGGTGCGGTAGCTGTTCACAGCCGGGTCCGCTCGCCTCCAAGCGCCTATCCCCTCCAAAACTGTAAGGAGAAGACGTGTAGTTTTTCGAACTGGTAGTGAGACTTGAAATGGCGGCACGAAGCGGCAGGGGTGCCTCTCTCTCCTCTCTCGCCCGGGTGGAGAGACCTGGTCACGGGGCGGTCCCTTGAACCGCTCACGGCTTGAGCCAAAATGGCACTCTTGGCTTGCTTGCGTGACGTTTGGGGCCA